AGCCGCCATATGCCGGTTAATTCCCCAGATTCGTGGTTCAACCCGGTCGGGCGAAACCGCCCGTCCAGGCAAGGTTTGAGCGAACATATCCGCAAAGGCGTTGTGGGTGAGGTCGGGAACCAGCACCTCTTTGGATGCCTGGTAGAGGTCGGATATGTCTGGGTGACCGCTTTTCCAGGACGAAATCCTTCTGGTCCCCCGAGTTCTCCTTACTAAGTGCGTGTAATGCGGGGCCATTCGCCGGGCTAATTGCTCTGGTTGGCGACTGGCGATTGGTACACTTTCAAGGAAGCCACATATCATTTCGTTCCGTTCGGCATACCCGGCAATGAGCATTACCAGTCCTCCCGTATGGGTGTCAGAGTCTCCTTTCCAGCGCTCAGCGCGGAGTTTGGCGCTGCCTGTCCACAAACCAGCGAAACTCGGCGTAGTTGGTCAGCAGCAGATTAGATATAGATTCCCGGTAGCGCTTGAATTGCTGTCCATGTTGTCCTTTGATGGGTTTGTCGCGTTTGGGGCGTCGCCTCGATGGGCAGTCGAGTTGGCGTCTATGTCCTTGGCTTCAACGTACCCGAGGGTCAAGCTGTCCTTTCGGCTAACACATATCGGGGCGCGCCTCCCTCGATCTCCGCTTTGGGTTCGCCGTTGTGGCCGTAATTCCATCAACTATCGACTCTCAATAGTTTCTTTCTGCAAGAAGGCGCCCCGTGGGTGTGCTCAGTGGCGTTACCTAGCGACACTGCAGCGTGCAGTTCTTTTACGTAATTCGCCGAATATGTGGCGTCGCCATTACGACGGGACGGGTCTCCCATCATAAATAGACCTTGCGCTCCTTCTATTGGATGCCGTCCCCTCGCTCGCTCCTCCCCCCTCCTCGTTCCCCTTTCTTTTTTTCGTCCCCCAGCATCCCTTTTTGTCCGCCCGCATTTAAAATTATCCTTCTGATTCTTTTCCTTGCCCCACCCTGCCTATTTTCCTTGCACCCGCCTCCCCTCCCTACTACGTGCTTTCGTTTTTTATCCTCACTTCACTTTCTATTTTTCCCAGCGATTCCCACCCTCGGTACTCCTTCTTACGCTCGTTGACCTTTAACTGCCCACTCATCTCCTCAGCCTTGCCCCTCCCTTACCTCCTCTGCCTTTCTTTCACTCTTCTTCTCTCCACCACCAACATCTCCTCTTATTATTCTATTAAGACTAAAAAACGTACCTTCCACGCCTCGAAGTTCCGGCCTTGGAACCCTCGAACCGGTCCTTGTCCGACTCGACGTCGCAGTACAGCCACCAGTCTTCCTCTTCCGTTTAGGGACGCGGTTGTCGGACCAACTCGACCGACGCGATCGCGCCACCCGCCATGGCTCTCCAACATGCCCTGGCGGCGGCCTCCCATCTCCCAATGCACCTCTTCTTCGCCTTCCCGTGCGGTCCCTCGAGGACGGGCTCCCTACCTTCCGCACCCTTTTTCTGTTCTTTTCCCCCGACCACGGTTTCTCGGATAATCCTGCTCCCATAGCGGGTAATAAGGAGAAGCGACGAGTGAGGAAAAAGAAAAGAAATAGAAAACAGAACATCTTTCTCTTCCCCTTGATCTCAACTCATTTTTCTGTCTGCCTCGCTCAGTATTGTTATCTTGCTAATGAAATATGGGTATCCCTGGAACATTTCTGACTTCCTCTCGTGTTGAGAAGGCGTGTCCCAGCCCTGCTCGTGCAGTGCCTTGTAGGCGTAGGCCACGTCGAACCCCGTCGTCTGATCAGGGTCGCCCCCGCCGGTATCCGGGCCTTTTGTTTGTTCCACTGTACTGAAGGGTCTTTTCCGCGCCCGCCCCAAACGTTGGGGGTGGCGCCCCGCCGTCCTTGGTCGTGAACGGACGGCACTCGTACTCGTCGTATGCCATCACGCAGAAGGCGGGGATGATGTCTTCCTTGAAGTTCTCGTACTGGTCGTCGCCCCATACCAGCACCACGTCCGGCTTGAAGGCGTCCAGCTCGGCCCGCACCTTGCGGAACCCAGCCACCAGCTTCTCCCGCTGGAACAAAGCGGAAGCGTACCCCTCGTCGTCGCCCCACTCCTCGCGCATGGCGGCGGGCCAGTTCTCGGGGTTCTTTTGCTCGCTGGGAATGCGGTCGTTCCTCAGAGCACGGGCCAGCGAGTAGTTCTTCAGCTCATCGGGCGTGATCAGCGACGGCGAGTGCGTGACCCCAAGCCCCAGTATCTCTGCCATGTTGCGCCTCCATATCTAATTGTTTGACCATCGAAGAGGATGGTGCGGCGTGTTTCGTGGATTTTGATTGTTCCGTGGCCAAATCGCAACCACAGTGATCGGAGGGGACAGTCAAACAGGCCGAGCGCTCCCGCAGGCGAAGCGTTCCTTTCGACAATCATCCTCAAGACGGTTGCCTTGATAGTCCGATTGTTTACATAATATCTGCAATATCGCGTCACTTGGGAGAGCGACTATGGCGACGGTAGCAAACCGTGGGAAATGCTTTTTGTGCGACAGGTCTTTTAGCAAGGCCGGTATGACGCGTCACTTGCAGTCGTGCCGCGAAAACAGCGGGGGCGCTGAGGCCGGCTCGGGCCGCCGCCCCAAGCGAATGAGGCAGGGCTTTCATCTTGCCGTGGAGGGCCGCTATCGCCCGGAATACTGGCTGCACCTCGAGATCGCAGGCGATGCTCCGCTTGCGGCGCTGGACAGCTTTCTCCGATCTCACCTGGCTGGAGTGCTGCGGGCATTTGAGTTCTTTCGTCATCGACGGCACAACCCATTTCCTTGAGGACATGGAAGAATTCGCCGACCCCTGATGATGGGGACATGGAAGTTTCCCTGGTCCAGGTTCTCCGTCCGGGAATGAAGTTTGCCCACGAGTACGATTTCGGCTCCACTACCGAACTGAATCTGCGGGTGGTCTCTCAGGGTGATGTCTCAGTAGACCGCAAGGGCATCCGGTTGCTGGCACGAAACGACGCCCCGGCGATCCCGTGTGTCAAATGCGACTCGCCTGCCGCCAATTTCTGTACTGAGTGCTATTGGGGCGATGGCGGGTTCTTTTACTGCGAAGGATGTTCCGGGCATCATACTGTGCAGTCGCCTTCGCACGAGGGTATGTTTCTTCCCGTGGTGAACTCACCCAGGATGGGCGAGTGCGCCTACACCGGGTCCGAAGAGGATGTGCTCGTTCATTAGGCAACGGAGATTCCAGGCACGACTGGATATCCTTGCCCACCCGCACTCCCAACGGCGATAATGTCGCCAACAATCCTGCAAACAGAAACCGCGCCCGCTGCCGGCTGGAGGACTCACATGGACTGGGGAATGGCCAACCGCATTGGCGCAGCTGATTCAATCCGACGGGAAGTGCATGTTCCTCCCGTCGACCACGGCTACTTCCAGGGCCCCACCCGCAACCTCGAGCGCCCCGGCGAGACCATCGCCCCCTCATGCCCTACGCCGACGCGCTCTTTCGCCACCCGCGGCGTGGTCCGCTCCGTCGTCGACCCCGCCGACACCAAGCCGCTGATCCTCCGCGTCTCCGGCGGCACCAGCATGACCTCCGGCGACCTCGCCGACGAGGGCATCACCACGTCCATGGACGACGCCGTTCGCCTGAATGTGTCCGCCGTCGGCATATCGGTCTTCGTCGGCTCCGAGTACCAGAAGCAGTCCATCCTCAATCTCGGCAAGCTGGTCGACGAGGGCGAGCGATACGGCATCCCGGTCATGGCGGTCACCGCCGTGGGCCGCGAGCTGGACCAGCGCGACTCCCGCTACCTCGCCATGGCCTGCCGCATCTGCGCCGAGATGGGCGCCAAGGTGGTCAAGACCTACTGGTGCGAGGACGGCTTCGACCGCGTGGTCGACGGCTGCCCGGTTCCCGTCGTCATGGCCGGCGGCCCCAGGGCCGACACCGAGCGCGAGGTCCTGGAGTTCGTCCACGACGGCATGCAGAACGGCGCCATCGGCATCAACCTCGGCCGCAACATCTGGCAGAGCCCCCACCCCGTCCCCATGATCCGCGCCCTCCGCCACATCGTCCACGGCAACGGCACCGTCGCCGAAGCCCAGGATATCTACGACGCCGCCCGTGCCGAGTCAGGCGAACTCGTCGGCGTCCCCGACTAGATTCATTCCCGTTGGCAACTATCTCAAAGCCGACCGTAAATCTCCCGTCATTCCCGCGAGTTTTCCGTCATTCCTGCGGAAGCGGGAATCCAAACCCCCGGTTCCTTGTCTATTCCGCATACGGGCCTCGCCGAATGCCCTTTGAGATTGTTCGTTAGTCCTGAGTTAGTCGAAGGACAGTGGTTCGACGAGCGCACCGCCAACGGATTCGCGGACACTGGTTCTGCGGAATCCGCTTGGCTCCCCAATTGAAATAACAGGCAGGCCACCATGCGCGCAGCGATGTACTACAACAACAACGACGTCCGTCTCGAGGAGTTGCCGATACCCGAAGTCGGATCAGACGAACTGCTGCTAAGGATCGAGGCCAGTGGCATCTGCGGCAGCGACGTGATGGAATGGTATCGCATCCAACGCGCTCCAACGGTGCTGGGCCACGAGGTCGCTGGTACAGTCGCCCAGGTCGGCTCCGGCGTCAGCCAGTTTCGCGAGGGCGACCGCCTCGTCGTGACTCACCACGTGCCCTGCAACGCCTGCCGCTACTGTCTTAGCGGCAGCCATACCGTCTGCGACACCCTGCGCGCCACCAGCTACGATCCGGGCGGATTCTGCGAGTACGTCCGCCTGCCCGCCATCAACGTCGACCGCGGGGCCATCCCCATTCCCGACGGCGTCCCCTTCGACGAAGCATCCGTCGCCGAGCCCCTCGCCTGCGTCTATCGGGGCCAGCGCCGCGCCAACATCCAGCCGGGGCAGACTGTCCTGGTGCTGGGCAGCGGCCTCGCCGGTATGCTCCACATAAACTTGGCCCGCGCCCTCGGGCGCCGGTCGCATAGTCTCCACCGACCTGTCGGACTTCCGCCTCGAAGCGGCCCGCCGCCTTGGTGCCGACGAGACTCTCCGCGCCGACCAGTACACCCCCGACCGGCTCCGTGAGGTCAACGACGGACGCCTTGCCGACCTCGTCATCGTAGCCACCGGTGCCCGTCCCGCCCTGCTGCAGGCCATCGAGTCGGTGGACCGCGACGGCACCGTGCTTTTCTACGCCCCCACCGAGCCCGGCGTCGAGATCCCCGTGTCCATCAACGATGTATTCTTCCGGAATGGGGCCACTTTTACCACCACCTACGCCGCCGCGCCCGGCGACCTGACCACCGCCCTCGATCTCATAGCCTCCGGCCGCGTCCAGATCGGCGACATGATCTCCCACCACCTGCCCCTCGCGGAGACCGATCTTGGATTCAAGCTCACCGCCGGCGCCTCAGACTCTCTCAAGGTAATCGTCGAACCCCAAAGGTAATGTGGGGGCGGGTTTCATACTCGCGTCACTATCAGCGCCCATCCGCCACCCCGCCTCACCCCCATCTGCGTGACCCCATATCGCCCCCAATCGTCACCACCGCCCCTAACCGTAGCTCTCCCGCCCCTCCGTCATTCCCGCCTGTTCCGTCATTCCCGCGAAAGCGGGAATCCAACCCCCCGTCCCCCCCCACAAAAGCAGGCGCAGGGCCGGAGTCCGCGGTCCCAAGACCGTCAGACTCGCCTGCAAAACGTAAAGGCGGGTCTCAAACCCGCACCACCACCAGCGCCCATCCGTCATCCCGCATCGCCTCCAATCGTCATTCCAGCGGAAGCGGGAATCCAGTGCCCATCCGTCACTCCCGCCCCCTAATCGTCATTCCCGCGAAAGCGGGAATCCAAACCCCCGTCACACCCACAAAAGCAGGCGCAGGGCCGGAATCCACAGCCCCAAGCCTCCGAGCAAGCCCGTCCCCAAAATTGCTGACACTTGCCCCTTTACAAGCCTCATGACACATCTCTAGCCTGAATACATAGAAATACAACCCACCGCGCAGGCCGGATTCCAACGCGGAGTCTCGCGCAACTCCCAGGGGCAAAAGGCAAAAATGATCGGAAATGCTCGGTTTTGATCGGAAATAAGGGGATTATCCAAATTTTCGGAAACCACCAGGAGGCTGAACCATGTCATCGCGCCATATGTCGTTGCGCCAGATCAGGAACGCCGTCGAGGCCCTCAAGCGCAAATTTGCCCCCGAACTCGCCATCATCCGGCTCAGCCGCGTAGCCAATGAGATCACCCAGCTCTGGCACATCGCCATTGCCAACAAGCAGCCCAAGCCCGAACCCTACTCCTGCGTCCGCAAGGTGGCCGACGCCGGCTTCCGACTTCATACCTATATGGCCTTCGAGAAATACCTCCAGCGGTGCATCGACGACGATAGGCGTCCCGGAATAAGGGGCATCATCACCACCCTCTTACCCTGGACCGCCAATGGTTCCTGGCTGAACAACCTGGAACGGAATATCCCCGGCACCGCCTGATCCCCGCTCCCGGTGGGCCTGTCGAACCGCGAGCCTGTCGAACCACGACCCTGCCGGACCACGGGGCCGCCACTCAACGCTCGGAAATGAGTGGAAATGCTCGGAAATGAGCGGGGATAGCAAAATTTTCAGCACCCGACCGCCATCCCCGTAGGCTTGTCCCAGCGAAAACGGGGAGCATGAATCAGGGGCGCCAGCACCATCGGCAAACCTCTACCTGCGGGCGGGAGAGGGGAAAGCCAAAAGCCCCTGCCCTGCCTGTGCCGTCGCTTGACGGACGTCCCCTACCATGTACAATCAACCCAATATCCGGCCGTCTTTGGGAGATGTTGCTATGGAACTGGGACTGTTCCTTGAATTCCCCGTGCGGGAAGGCACCACGGAAAACGAGGCCTTTAAGGAGTCCTTTGCCTTGGTGGACCAGGCCGAGAACTTGGGCGTATCCTCTGTCTGGATGGCCGAGTATCACTTCAACCCCGCCCGGGTCTTGGCCAGCCCGGTAACCATCCTCAGCGCCATCGCCGGCCGCACCCGGAACATCCGCGTCGGCACCGCCGTGCTGCTGCTGCCCTTGGCCAATCCCATCCGTGTCGCCGAGGAGATCGCCACTCTCGACCAGATAAGCGACGGCCGCGTCGAGTTCGGCGTGGGCCGGGGCACCTTCCCCAACGTCCACGAGGGCTTCGGCGTCCCCTTCGAGGAGAGCCGGGGCCGGTTCGAGGAAAGCATCGAGATCATCCTGAAGGCCTGGACCACCGACACCTTTCCTTCGAGGGCGAGCACTTCACTCTCCCCGAAATGTCGGTTAACCCCAAGCCATACCAGCAGCCGCATCCACCCATCCGTGTGGGTGTTACCTCTGCTGAGAGCTTCCCCATCCTCGGCCGAATGGGTTTGAACATCCTGATCAACCCGTCGCGGGTCTTCACTCTCGCTGAGCTGAAGCCCTCCATCCAGGAGTACCGCGAGGCTTGGAAGGCCGCCGGACATGAGGGCGAGGGCAAGGTCGGCCTCCGCATTCCCGTCTACCTGTCCCACGACGCGCACAAGGCCCACACTGAGCCGATGGATAGCGCCCTGTTCTCAATGGGCCGCCTCTCTGACCGGGTGGGCAGCTATGCCGGCCGGGCCGGTACCCTGGGAGACTGGGGCGCGCAGGCAGAGCGGGTCCGCCAGATGACCTACGACGACTGGGTGCGCGACAAGGTGGCCTACGGTACCCCTGAAGCGGTCACCGAGAAGCTCAAGTCGCTGGGCGAAGAACTCGGCCTTGACCAAGTGATGTTCGAGATCAACTTCGGCAACCTCATCCCCTTGGAAAACCAGGCCAACAGCCTGCGGTTGATGATGGAAGAGGTTGCCCCCAACCTGGCCTGACCGAAGCGCCCTCTGTCCCCGTTAATGGTCGTAGACAGAAGCTTTGGGAGGAGCTCCCTGTTTCAAGGTCGTAGCCAGTAGCTTTGGGAGGAGCCCCCTGTTTCAAGATCGTAGCCAGTAGCTTTAGAAGGAGTACCCTGTTTCAAGGAAGGCGGAACAGGGTGTAGACGAAATGAGTTGCGAAGCGTTTGAGCCCGGAACCAAGCTGGAGTGCCTCGTCGAGATGCCCGTCAGGGTCAACATGGGCGCCCCGGTGGAGGGCGCCAGCCACATGATCCAGGTCGGCGATATCGGCGAAGTTACCATCGTCCGCCGCACTGGCGCCGGCCTGCACTGGCTGGTCGTCAGGTGGGAGCGCTTGGGCCGCACCTTCAACCTCAACCCGGACCAGTTCGACCGCGTCAAGATCGCCAGCTAGCGCGACGCTCCTACCAGCGCATCCCCGGCTCGCGTTCCTGCAGCACCTCGCCGAACAGTGTCAGCACCTGGTCGACCCGCAGCACCACAATGGCCGCGCCCTCCATCTCCGGGTCGGAGATAAGCCCCGAGTTGGCCAGGCGACGAGTCATATCGTCGTAGATCTCCCCTTGCCGCTCCACGCTGGCCGTGCATCGGAACTTCCAGCCCGCGTCCACGGCGGCGTTGCGGAACAGCACGATAACCTTGGAGTTCTCCTCGATATGCTCCAGGGGCTGCCGCCGAGTGCGGTCCCGGTAAACGAAGGTCGAGTCGTCCACCGCCAGTACCGTGCCGATATAGCCCGCGTTGGGAGTCCCGTCCTGAGAGGACGTGGCCACGATGCTCGGGAATCCGTCCTCCCGTGCGTTGTTGACCAGGCGCTTCATCTCTTCGGTGAGTTGGATCACGGTCGCCTCCTAATCTCCCGCCGCCTGCTCGACCGGGCGGCTCAGTGCAACCCCGGTCTCCGAGGCCTCGATGGTGCGCCGGTCAAGCTGCAGGCCGAACCCGTCCGCCAAGCGGGTGAGGTAGTTGAAGATGCCGACGATGTGCCCGACCTCAAGCAGGGCCACGTCGTCAAAGCCCAGGTCCCGCAGCGGCTGCCAGTCGGCCTCAACCATCCGCGTCGGGTGGCGCTCAGCTTCTCCGACACCGTGCACAGCGCCATCTGGCGGGCCGTCAGCGTCGGCAGTTCCCGCCACCGCTGGTGCGTCACCGCCTCCACGATGGCCGGGTCTCCGTCCTCGGCACGCAGAAACTCTGCGTGAGACACGGTTCAATACCGGCAGTCCTGGGCCGCGGCGGCGACGGCAGCCACCATCTCCCGCTCCTGGCGGTCCAGTTCCCCGGGGCCGAACATAACCTGCCGGTACAGAGCTCCGAACAGCGGCCCGATCTCCCGGTGTCTGGCCTGCAGCCGTCCCATCGCGGGCAGGTAGCCGAAGTCATAGTTGCCCGCCCGCGCTCCCTGCGGCAGGTTGGCCCGGTGCTCCTCCTCCGTCGGGATCGCCACCCACGCTTCTCGGGAGCTTTCGTGCTCTGACATCCTTGCCCCTCCTGCCGAGATGCCGCTATTCTAATCCAATGAGACGGATACTGGTCACCGGCGCCGCCGGACAGCTTGGTTCCGAGTTGATACCCGCCCTGCGGGAGCGGTACGGCAGCGACAACGTCGTCGCCGCCATGCACCGCAGTCCCTTGACCGAGGAGGTCGCGGACTCCGGTCCTTTCACCCAGGTTGACGCGACTGAGCAGGACTCGGTCGAACGCGCCATCCGCGACTACGACATCGACTCTCTCTACCACCTCGGCTCGCTGCTGTCGGTGGCCGCCGAAGCCAACCGCCCGCTCGCCCATCGAGTGAACATCATCGGCCTGCTCAACGTCCTCGAGGCGGCCTGCGACACCGGCCTGGAGCGGGTGGTCATCCCCAGCTCCATAGCCGCCTTCGGCATCGACACCCCCCACGACAGCACCCCCAACGAGACCCTGCAGCGGCCCACCTCGCTGTACGGTATCTCCAAGGTCTTCGGCGAGCTGATGGGCAACTACTTCTTCGAGCGAGTTGGCTTGGACGTCCGCGGCGTCCGCCTCCCCGGCGTGGTCAGCTGGAAAGTGGAGCCCGGCGGCGGCACCACCGACTACGCCGTCGACGCCTTCTACGGAGCCATCAGGGAGGGCCGCTACACCTGCTATCTGCGCCCCGGCACCTACCTGCCAATGATGTACGTCCCCGACGCCATCAAGGCGCTGATCGAAGTAGCCGAGGCCGATGTCGACGGCCTCAAACACCACGCCGATTACAACGTCAACTCCATGAGCTTCGAGCCCACAGAGCTCGCCGAAGCTATCCGACGGCGGATGCCGGGATTCGAAATGGACTACGACGTCGACCCTCTGCGCCAGTACATCGCCGACTCTTGGCCCAACTCCCTCGACGACTCCGTGGCCCGCCAGGAGTGGGATTGGCGTCCCGACTACGGCCTCGAGGCCATGGTCGACGACATGTACGAGAACCTCTCCCGCAAGCTGCTCGGATAAGTCGGATCAAGCTGTTCGGACAAGTCGGATCAAGCTGCTCGGATAAGTCGGATAGGGAAGTACAAGGGGCGCCGGTGAAGGCGCCCCTCAATCAGTAGCCGGACTCCCCAGCCCGTCAGTAAGGTATCGTCCAGGACTCTGAGAAGGCCAGCGCGCTGGTGCTGTGGGCACGGGCGTCGCGCTGCCGAGGCCAGGGCCGCCCCGACGCCTGCTGACCGTTCAAAGTGATTCGCGCCCCGTTCGCCGGGATCAGTATCGTGGCTACACCGTGAGGCCGTTCCGGGTTGGAGCCGGGGAAGCTGTGGCTCATGAACGGTTCGCCAAGGTCGTACCACGTCAGGGCGATGTCCTCACCACGAGCGCTCGCCGACTCCGTCCAGAACGAGCGCAGGTCCCCCGAACTCCGGAAGCTCGCCTCTGTCGCCGGGATCTCCAGGTTGCCGAAGGTCGCGTTGATCCGACCTTGGATCTCGCCCTGCAGCCATCCGGTCATCTGGATGTTGTCGGTGTAGATCCTTGGCTCGTTGTTGGTCAGCTCGCTCTGTAGGAAAAGAACGTGCCCCGGCCCGCCCGGCGAGAACAGGATGCGCCAGAAGCTGGCATCGCTGGTGACCGGTCCGTCGTCGGTGGCGCTGAGACGGATATATGGGTTCTCTCCAGTGAGCAACAGGCGATTCGGATCAATGGGACTTGAAGTTGTCATAGCTAATCCCTCTCTGGATGTATCTCAGGATCGCGGTTCATTCATTGGACCGGGCACTCGTTGGACATGGTCGGGAACGCCCACCCGCAGCCTTCCCTGCGATGCTCGGCAAAGCGACCGGGCTACTGCGCGGTAAGACCGCCGTCAATCACCAGCTCGCTGCCGGTCATGAACGACGCCTCGTCCGACGCCAGGAACAGGACGCCGAAGGCAATGTCCTCCGGCTGGCCGATGCGATTCATGGGGTGCCGGGCCGCGTTCTCTTCGCGACCGGCTGCGCTGTTCAGCATCATGGGCTGCGTCATCGGCGTATCGATGACTCCAGGGTGCACCGAGTTGCAGCGGATGCCTTCGCGGGCATACTGGATGGCCGTGGACTTGGTGAGCAGCCGAACGGCGCCTTTGCTGGCGGCATAGGAGGAGGTTCGACCGCCCACGATCCCTGCGATGGATGAGATGTTGACGATCGAGCCGCCGCCCGCATCCCGCATCGCCGGTATGGCCGCCTTTGTTCCCAGGAAGACCCCCTTGGCATTGATGTCCATCACCCGGTCCCACTCGTCGCCGCTAGTGTCTTCCACGTTGTTCACGATGCCGATGCCAGCGTTGTTCACTAGGATGTCCAGCTTGCCAAAGCGGCTCACCGCCGTTTCGACTGCCGATTCCCAAGCGGATTCGTCGGTCACGTCCAACCTCACGAACACGCACTCTCCGCCGCTCTCATTGATGGCTGCCTCAGTCTGTCGACCTTCCTCATCCAGGACGTCGCCAATAATGACCTTCGCTCCCTCCTGCGCGAACATCCTTGCCTCCGTGGCCCCCATTCCTCTCGCCCCGCCGCTGATGAGCGCGACCTTGCCTTCCAGTCTCATGCCTCTTGCCCCCCGTCGTTCAATGTAGCCCTATTGTGTTCGCGTATTGTAATGCCTCCGCAGTACCCGTGAATTCAGTGGGACCGGGTTGCCCGGAATCGTCCAATAGCAATGAAGTAACCCCTCCATCGCAAGTGGGTGCGTCAGGGCCAATTTGGTGACGCTCCCCAGGGCAATCGCGTCTTAAACGCCGGAGGCCCTATAAGTCGTCATTGCCGCGCAGGCGGGAATCCAAACCCCCGTCTACCCTCACACCCGGAACCGAAGGAGGCACTGCCACTCCCATCTCCACCGCCATTCAGACCAATTTGTGTGCTGAGTAATAAGACGCGATTGCCCTGCGTCACAGGGCAATCGCGTCTTAAACGCCGGAGGCCCTATAAGTCGTCATTGCCGCGCAGGCGGGAATCCAGACCCCCGTCTACCCTCGCACCCGGAACCTAAGGAGGCACTGCCACTCCCATATCCACCGACATTCAGGCCAATTTTGTGTGCTGAGAATTAGGACACGATCGCCCTGTGACGTTCCCCCCTTGTCAGACCGCATGATCCCCTGTACTCTATTTAAGAGTATATGTTCTATTACAGTTGCCCTCTGATCAAGGGATGTCCTCTGGGGCAACGGGTTAAATACACTGAAAAACCCGCAAAAAAGCCTGAAAGCAGAAATGGGACAAAATGGGGCGGGAAACAGAAAATTTTTGTCCCACCGCATTTGAGGGACGGTCTTTCAGCTTTAATTCCGGCGAATTCCCCGCCGGCCGGCGGGGAAAATGGGACAAAATGGGACAGCGGTGGGACATTTCTTTCCCACTTGTTACTGAAAAAGAGCCCGGTATTCCCGGTCGCTGACCCCATTTAACGTGATGGTTTACAATGCGACCATCTACTCGCGGGGGTGCAGACATGGCCGCTGACAGTCGCTGGAACCTCAAGGGCGAATACTTCGAGAGTTGCAACTGCGAGATCCTCTGTCCCTGCATCGTTCGGGGAACCAACATCGAACCCACCGAGGGTCACTGCGACGTTGCCCTGGCATTCCACATCGAGCAGGGCGATTTGAACGGCGTGTCGCTCGATGGCCTGAACTTCATTGCCGCCAACTTCACCCCGGCCCGATGGCGGCCGGTGGTTGGACTTCGGCCCTGTACATAGACGAGAGAGCCGACGAGTCGCAGAGGGCGGCGCTCGAGCAGATCCTGTCGGGCGATATGGGCGGACCTGCCGAACGGTGGCGCGCCATGACCGAGAACTTTATGGGCATTGGCTACGTACCCATCGACTTTCGGGTTGACGGCAAGGTCCATTCGGTGAACGTCCCAGGGGTGATGGATTTCAGCGTCGAGCCGATCCAGATCCCAGGCCGGGACGACGCTATGCTGTTGTCCAACACCGGGCACGGGGTCAACCGCGACCTGTACTTGGCCCGCGGCGTTCGCGCCGAGTACACCGACCACGGCATGGTCTGGGACAACACCGGCAAAAACGGCCACTACGCTCCATTTCAATGGAGTTTTCCGTAGCTCTCTGCAATTGCTACGACCCTGGTAGTTCAGCATACCCTGCTTGCTGAGTATTGCAGCCTGGCCGTTGACGATTCGGCGGGCTGTACCTATAATCCCGCCTTGATTGCGAGGAAAGCTATCTATGTTTGTGTTTTCATTGCAATGATATACGGTATCTGGACATAGGAGCGTCTAAATGCGGACACTATCCCTCATGGTATTACTGGTAATCGTAGCAACGTTTGCTCTGGCATGTGGCGAGGCTGCAACTTCCGCGCCGCCGACGGCAACGACGGCGCCTATAGCGGCACCCACCGAAGCGCCAACCGTCGCCCCAACGCAGGCCCCGGCAACGGGGGCCCCCGCGCAGATGGAGGGCGATTACAGTCCGGAGTTGCTGGCTATCGCCGCTGAGCGGGCCAACAAGTCGGGCGCCATTTATGTGGGAGACCTCAGCATGTTGGTGGGCCCTGCCCCGACGCCCGAGGAAGGCGACGCCGACGGCAACGTCCCGCTCGACGCCTTGGAGAAGCACCTGTATGTCTATGACTCGGACTACTACCAGAGCGTTTTAGAACGAGCCAAATTCACCGACCCGACGCCGTTGACCTACGACGGAGAACCCTTCGTCATCCAGAATGCGTGCGTGAACCGGTCCATCGTGTTCTGCAAGATCGTTGATACGTTCCTCATTGATAGGCTGACAGAACGGACCAATGGCAAGCTCGTGATCGAGTCCACGTCGTTTCCGGAGTTGGGCGTAGCCGGCCCCGACACCCTGAATCTGGTGCGGGACGGCACACTGGATATGGTCAATGTGCTGGGGCCCTACGTTGCTGGCGATCTGCCGCAGCTGGAGATTCAGTACCTCTTTGGCCTGTATACTGAGAGGTCGCAACAGTTCGATGCAACCGCCACCATGCTGCCGGACATTGAACAGCTTTTGATCGATGACACAGGCGGGTATCCCATCAACGTCAACTGGCACAATGGGGATGACATCTTTCTGTTCACCAAAGAACCCCTGAACCTGCCCGAAGACGTGGTGGGAATGAAGACCCGGGGCCTTTGGGACGTCCATATCCGACTGGATCGCTGGAATGGGTGGCGAGCCGCAGTTCGTGGCCTTCTCCGAAGTGTATACGGCGCTGGAACGCGGCATTCTCGAGGCAGGCGTGACCGGCGGCGACGCCGGACACAGCCAGCGCTGGTACGAGGTAATCAGCTACATCAACGGGCCGCTCTCATCGTGGCCTTCCAGCCACAACGTGGTCAACCAGGAAGTCTGGGAGTCGATACCGACCGACCCTCCAGGAGATCTGGAAAGAAGAGTCCGCCAAGATGGAGCTGGAGGCCCTCCGGCTTGGTTCCATTCAAAACGAACTAGGCCTTCAGAAAAATATCGACGCCGGGTTGACGTATATTGAATTCGGTCCGGAAATGCGAGCACTCAGCGACAACGCGGTGCTGACCCAAGTGGTGCCCAACTGGGTCGACCGAGTGGGAGGACCCGACGCTCCGTTTGTCGAGGTGTTCAACAACGCTATCGCTCCCGTCGTTGGCATTACCATTGAGGCAGACGGTACATTAATAAAGAACTAAACCGCCTGCCCGCCCGTAGGCCGTAATACAGGAATCTTTTGAGAGCGCGGAGGGAATCGCAGTCGTGAAACTCTCCGCGTTTTCTTTGTATGTAATACGCAAGGGAGATTCTCTGGGTAAGGTTCTGGTGGTTGGACTCTTTCTTTCCGCATTTGCCGCAACTTGCAGCGGTCAGAATGCTCCCGCCTATACTCCCGGTCCAACCCTTGAGCCTGACCCAACCAGTGCTGCACTGCCCACTGCGACTCCCGTGCCGTCGCCCACAATTGCCCTCACGGCAGCTCCAGATTCCACCGTTGCCGCGGAGTCCGCGCCTGCAGCGCAGTTGCAGGGTTCCGTAGCCCCTGACTTTGAGATCAAGTTGTTTCAAGGCGCTGATATTCTGGGAGCAGAGGAACTTAGGCTTTCGGACGTAACTGGCCAACCCCTCGTGCTGAATTTCTGGGCGCGTTTCTGCGGTCCTTGCTGGTCGGAAATGCCGGAATTGCAGGACTTTTATGAACAATACGGAGACAGAGTGCAGCTCTTGGGGATCGACTTGGGACAGTTTACTGGGCTCGGCTTGCCAAAGGACGCCAGCAAGCTGCTTGACGCACTGGGAATCACCTACCCCGCAGGCTTCACCGACGACGGACAGGTCGTCAGAGACTACGAGGTCAGGGCGATGCCCACCACGATTTTCATCACCGCTGAGGGCGAGGTTTTCAGCAGTTGGACCGGTGCCATTGAGCGTGAACAGCTGGAATCAATAGTAGCGGCTATGTTGAAAGAGGAAAAAGCAACATCGGCCCCCGAACTGAAGAGTTAGAACACAAAGAGGTAAACAAGGCCCGGTTCTTTACCATCCTCTCGTTTGCTGTGTTCTCCGCTCAAAGCGCCGCTTTGATTATTCCACCCTTGTTGGTGGACATCGCGGGAGATTTCGAAATATCCGTACCGGTGGCAGGTCAACTCGCCACCGCCACTTTCGCCGCATGGGCCGTGTCTGTGGTCTCGGTGGGTCCACTGTCCGATTCCTTCGGACGGCGACCGGTTATGCTGGCGGGTCTGCTGCTGCTCTCCGTTTCAGTCATGGCGACTGCTTTCGCTCCGAGTTTCGAGTTGCTGATGGTGCTGAGAGTGGCGACTGGTCTCGGAGGTGGCATGCTGCCGCCCAACGCGATAGCAGCACTGTCTGAGGTTATTTCCCCACAGAAGCGGGCTCAGGCAGTTGGGGGCCTCATGGCTATCAACGTGATGTCGTCGGCCATAAGCGTCCCTGTAATCGCCTTGCTGGCGGACAGGGGAGGGTGGAGATTTGCCGTTCTGATCCCCGGCCTGATGCTCGTCGCGGGACTCTTGGCCAACTGGCTCTGGTTCCCGGCTGACAGCAGGGAACGGGTGCGCAACTTCGCGTTCTTCTCCAGACTCTGGTCGCTGCTGTCCCTGCGTTTCTTCCGGGTGGCGGCCTTGGTGAACATAACCCATCGTATTGCGTTCTGGGCAATTGTGAGTTATTTCGCCGCATACTTGATTGGCAAGTACGAGGTGAGCGTAGGCTATGTGGCCCTGCCACTGGCTATCTTGGCCATGGGCCAGGTGGCGGGGAGTTATGCTACGGGGGTGTTGGCTAGAAACCGATATCGTTACGCCTTAATCGCCGGGGTGTCTCTGCTGGGCGGCACCTGCGGATTGCTGTTCTTCTCTGTGGACCTGCCGCTATGGGCGGCGGTGGCTGTAGCAACTATTGGGGCGGGACTGCTCAGTGTGACTTTCCCCACTCTGGTAGCAATCAGCACGTTGTATTCCGGTGAATCCAGGGCTACGGGTGTTGGTCTGATGGGCTTGAGTAACCAGGGTGGAGGTGTGTTCGGGGCCGCCGTTGCGGGCATCTTGCTGGCCAGCACAGGCTTCGAGGGTATCGGGTATTTGTGCCTGGGTGTAACTGCCGCATGCGCTCTGTCGACCCTCTTGTTTGCAAGGATGGCGCCGGCGGGCAATGAACGGCCCTGAGTGAGAATCTGTAGCATCGTGCGGCTTTGACACGCAACTTTACGGACGAGGTCTTGGAAATTCCACGGCGTATACGAAAAAGAAGAGGGTTGGCCGACAACCAATGCCGAAACTTTGAGCAGGGTCAATATAGGCAGTTGAGCACCAACTACTGACTCACCCGGATAGAGTGGCATCGCCAGTGCTGACCGATGTTGGCGGGAGTGTGAGGAATAACAATAACAGCATTTCGAGGGCAGAATCAGCTATGGAGAATGAGAATTGGAGGTAGGTATCGGTAGTGAGGTACTTTTGAATGTACTTTTGACTGGCGTCTGTCAATCAACCCTGATTCGCCATTCCTGACCACTCTCGATTGATTGACAGCATTACGGACACCTCTCCAATCGTGGGAGACGGTGCCGATTCTGAGTGTCCGCAAACGCCCCATTGATGGCCAGGATCACATGCGCCGAAACCGTCCCTTGGTGACACTGGGGGAAAAGTCCCGGCGGACTGGACTGGAGGCACTGCGCCGGAAACGTATCGGACGGAGCTTCGTTCTTGTTACGGAGCGGCAGGCGGCCATCTGGTGCCGAGGTAATAAAGAATGACATGGCAACTATGGGTACCCGTAATAGCCGGCATTGCGGTAGTTCTCATTCTCTTTTCGAACTGGATTTTCAAGCTGTTCCCGTCGATAGAAGGCGTGGGGGAGCGCATTCTGCGCTGGCTGTGCACCTACGGTCCTTTGTGGCCCGTGAACCGGGTGATACGTGCCAGAGCCCTTGGACGCTCTATCAACCCACCGCTTTCATACTTTTGATTTAGACACATCGCAAGTGCGATTGCGCACTTCTTTGGAGTTGTGGGCACTGCTTGACCCCGTTATCGAGAGGCACCCAACCTGGTTCACACAGGGTTATATTGACGCCGGGGGAGTGAAGCACCTGTATAAACACAGGTTCGTAGAGTTCAGGATAGCGTGGTGCCTGTTATGGCGAGGGGAATCCTACGCGAAATTTCAAGCTAAGCGGAAAGAACTCGACCGGCTCCGCAGGTGAAGAGTTTGAAGAACAGGAACGATTACCGTTGGGAGGTTGGTAGTGTCAAGGGGACTGTCGAGGGAACTGGAAAACGAAATTCGAAGACAACTTGAGCAACTTGTGAATGCAGAACCGGGCGGCTTCATCACACGTGGCCTCCGTAGCGACCCGTTGCAATTAGAAGCAATGCGGTACTTGGAGGACATTGGTGCCTTTGAGAAGGTAGGGTCAGGCTCCTACCGGGTTACTGCCCAGGGCCGGGACCACTGGGAGAAACTGACGGCTCCCCGTTGGCACTGGTTCAGGCGCAACTGGTTTCCCGCCCTGGTGGCTGGCGCAACCATTCTTTTTTCCTCGGTCGCGGCGGTTGCCAACATCGTCAACCTCATTGTTTAGAAG